CCCTTACCTCGCCGCTCTTGAAAGCGTACAGCCCCGCGCCCAAGCACCCCAGCGTGGCCGTGCACCCTATAGGGATCAGGGGGTCCTTCTTGGTCTTGTCCCACAGGCGGCTCCAGAACGTCTGTGGCATCCTATCACGGGCTCGTCCCTGTTTCTTGTCTAAATACTGTGATGCATCGTCAGTCAGTGACTGACACCACTCAGTGACCTTCGAATTTGAGAGTCCGGACCGTCTGGGGTGTGTCACGGAGTTTTGCCACTTCTGCCACCCACGTCAAGGTCTTTTCCGCCCCTCGCAGCACCCCTCGCCAGCGACTCCTTCACACTTTCCTGGAGAGAGAACTCATGACCAATGTCTGTTTCGTTCCAATCACACTCAATAAAGCAGGATACTGTCCCTGCTCTTCGCCGTCATCTCACCGTCATCCGCCTGGAGGCCTGGGGCTCAGCTTGTTCATCCGGCAGTGCCGCGACTCGAGGCATGACGGGGAAGACGACTCTGCGGGCCGTCCACGAGGATTTGGTCGAGCTGGTGCACCGCTTGAAAGGTACCTTGGGGGACCAAAACAGTCCTGTCCCCGGAAAAGATGAAATGCAAGAGCTTATCACAGAAGCGGCAGTAACACTCATCGAGTACAAGAGTATGGCTAGAGAGAGCGCCATGGCTGTCGGGGGGTGCCGGACAGAGATGCAATCCAAGAAGAAGGAAGTCGATGACCGGCACCTTCAGCTTCAAAATTTGATGTATGAAAAAGATCATTTGCAACGGACCATTCAAAGTTTGCGCGATTTTCCCATGGCGGAACTGACCAAGATCGAGGAGGACGAGGGCGCACCCCTCCTTCCGGGGTTGACAGAGGGCGGCCAGGTTCGTCTCCTGCCCGTGGAAGAGCACCGGCTCAGCTTGGAACGCCTGCAAGAGGAGAAGGGGGCTCGCATTCAATTGCACGAAGAGCACGTGGCTGCCCAGACGAAACGTGCGGCTTTGTCGAGGGAGGTCGACGAGCTGCGCGCCATGCTGGGTACCTCCCTGCCGCGCCAGATCGAGGAGCTCGACGCCCTCTGCACCGGCATCCACGAGCGCATCCCAGGACTCTCGATCGCGGCACCCTTCGGCGGCTTCCCGCCAGAGCAGGTGCAGGCCCTCCCCAGGCCGATGTACGTGTTGCTGGGTAGGCTCCAGGCCTACCGGCAGGCCCAGGACCCGGCGGCCCGCCGGACGCGGGTCGAAGTCTTCCCCTGCGGCGACGAACAGGCTCCTCTCCCCCAATGTGTGGCTGCGTTGGGCACGGAAGCCGCGCGGCTAAAGGCCAAACGCGCGCAATTGGGGCCCTCAGCCTCGTCGCCGAGCACGTCGGGGGAGGGGGAGGGCGCGGAGGAGGAGGGCGGGTCTCTCATCCTTGTCGACCAGCTCGCGATACGTGTCGAGTTTCCGCCGCTGGGGCCCGACGGGGGTCTGCAGGAGAACGCAGGCGACTGGGACGTCCTCATCTTCTTCTTCGCGCCCGAGGGGCGGGAGCTGCTCGTGACAGCACCGGGACGCCACCCTCAGGCTTTGGTCAACCTGTTGCCGGGGGACACGGGCGCGGACCCCTCGGCGGCCCCGACCTCGCACAGGGCACAAGGGACGCAGGCGGGCTCCCGGCGCCTGAACCGCAAACGCGCGGTGGATACGGATAAGATCAG